GGCTGGCGGATGTAAAGGAGTTCACAGGAGCTGTACAAAACGCAAGACTTTTTTAGGCAGAAGGGAGCGGGAACAAGGAAGTTAGATGAGGCAAAAACGCCATCTCGTTATTACAAAGTTAGCTTCCTTTGGCAGGGGTCTACCAGGCAGATTGCATAACCAGTGCGGGTCATGCAACTCGATTGACAGGCTTAAGAGTTTAAGATTCCATTTCTGGGAAAGTCCAAACTCTCATTAAGCCTGGATTTGGTGATGTGAGGCACAGCATAAGTGATTCTAGTTTGGGCCTGTGGTCTTGTTTTTAACAATTCCACCCTTTTTATCAGACTCTTGGCCTGAGAGATGTGATAAAAAATGGAAGCCTTTAGCGCTACATCCAGCAGATGCTCTGGAATTCTCTAAGTCTGGTATGTACAGGTGTGGCATTTACAGGTCACAATATGGGACTCACATTCTCTAAGTCATTCTCTTTGATCCTTTTCTGACGTTCTAGTCTTAGGGAGATCACTTGCTTGGTGGTTAGTGGCTACACATGTATATTTAAAACTTGAGAGAATACAGCACACCAAGGAACTAGTATGATTATCACAAGCGGGTAATGCATTGTCCGTGTCTGGAATGCCCTTTGGAGCTATGGTTTTCGAGACCCAAAGCCACCGGAATTAAATAAGTCACAGACTCCATTGGAGGAGTCACTGTTTTAACAACACCGGGCTTATGCAGTGATCTTCTGTAGTTCAGTCCCAACCTCCCCAGGAAGCATCCATCCAAGGGCAGCAAGTGATGTTGGCCATTGCGCTGCTAACAGATAAGCAGGGGCTGTCCTCGTATCGAGAACAACTTTGGCCACAGAGTCTAGGGATTTTGTGGGGCAGCTATTGCTTCAGCAGCAGATTCTGCAATATTTTCTTTTCTTTTTATTTTTCAATTACAGTTGACAGCAATATTTTCAAGAGTTTAGGACAGGCTCCTGATCATAGCCTCATTTGCACTTACTCTTAGCAAGGGATCTGCCAAAGGAAGTGACTTTTGAATTACGGATGTCTCCTGGTTATTCCCATTGATCGGCCACCTCCTGCACAGCCCACACTGGGGATCGAGCCGGCAACCTGGGCATGTGCCCTGACTGGAAATCTAACCGTAACCTCCTGGTTCATTGGTCGACGCCCAACCACTGAGACACACCAGCCAGCCAAAATAGATATGTTTTTATTGATTTTAGAGAGGAAGGGAGAAGGAGAGAGAAAAGTAAACATTGATTGGTTGCCTCCTCTACACACCCTGACTAGGAACTGAACCCACAACCTGGGCATATACCCTGAACAGTCCTCCCCACCTACCTCCGCCCCCACCACAACCCCTCCACCCCCATCCATGCAGGGGACAATGCTCAACCAACGGAGCCACACGTGCCCAGGCTCCTCACCAACGCTCTTTATTGTCTGTCTTACTTACTGTGGCCATCCTGTGTGTGCGAAGTGGTATCTCGTTGTTTTGAGTTGCATGTCCTTCATGACTACTCATGCTGAACATCTTTTCATGTGATTGTTGACCATTTATCTATTTCTTTGGAGAAACATTTATTCAAATCCTTTGCACATTTTAAAATTGGATTATTTGTCTTTTTATTGGGTTGTAAGAGTTCTTTGTAGAAGTTCCTTATCAGATATACAGTTTACAAATATTTTCTCCCATTCCTTGGGTTGTCTTTTCACTTTCTCAATGGTGCCTTTGGAATCATATACATTTTAAATTTTTGTGGAGTCTAACTTACCTAACTTAAGGTCATGAAGATATATATATATATAGTTTCCTTTAAGAGTTTTATAGTGTTAGCTCTTATATTTAGGTTTTTGATCCACTTTGAAGTAGTTTTTGAGTATGATGTGGGGTAAGGAATAAAATTATTTTACACCAAGTAATCATGTGACTTGTCATGGCTACATCGCTAGTCAGTGGTGTACTCCAGAGCCAGCTCCCAGTTGTTACTTGCTATCAGAATTCTTGAGTCTAGCTCCAGGTCAACTGCTAATGATCTCCCTGAGCCTTGGTTGCCCCAACTTTAAAAATCCGGTTTTGGAAAACAAACAAACAAACAAACCGGTTTGGGCTGCATTGCCTTAAAGGTCCTTCCAGCTTTTTATTTGCTGTCAGTTTAAGATTGTCCATTTTCCATGATCTTATCTGAGCAGGCCTCTGTGCCAAGAGGAGTATGTATGTCCCAGGCATTGTGCGTCAACTGAAAATAGTGCTCAAGGCCTCCCCCTAGTCCCCAGGGAACAGGCCAGCACCTAGAGCTGTAGGAAGCTCTGCTGGCAGCCTTCATTATCTAGAAACAAAGAGCAGGGGTAGGAGAATCCTCAGGTGTGCCCCCCCCCCCCCCCCACATTCCCGAAAGAACACTAACAGCCTCATTAGTCACCTGCTAAGGGCCTGCGCCCACATGTCTGGTTGCTTTTTTTGCACAAGAAGTCCTCAAAGCTCTCTTGCTTTTCTCTGAGCTGCAGATGACAGAATTACAATAGCTCAGAGCCACCACGCTGAGGCCTGTCTGGGGACCTGGGCATCTGTTGTCTTTTGTGGTTCCCATGGCTACCAGCCAAGGATCCCTGGAGGGAACAGGTCCTTGGGATTAGGGGATAAATGATTCTTCCACTGTAGACCCCATCCTGTCCTGCCCTCTTGTCTCACTACTGCACAAAGCACACGCCTGTGTGCGGGACACCCATGTTCCTGTCTGTCCTGCTTTGTGGGCGGGAGCAGAGCATCCTTTGGTCTAGAGGTAATTGGTTCCCACCCCTGAGTACCTGCCATATGCCTCTGAGTTAAGAAATTTTCCACTCTGCTCAGTGGGAACCTGAGCTATTCCTGGCCTTGTGTGAACGCCGAGTAGTATTTTCTCTGCTTTTTGGGGGGTATTTCTCCAGCTTTGGGAAGCTCTTTATACGTATGATGTGTTTCTCAAAACTTAGCTGAGGACTCAAGGGATCCCCATGCAGACCTTTAGAGCAAGCTGTCTGCAATGCTCTCTCCTCTCCAATATCCTGTCCTGTGAATCCTAGCCATCCTCGTCTGCCAGCACCGTGGCTTCGTAACTCAAGGAGATGCCTGCATTCCACCTTTTCCTTCTGGAAATTCTCTCCAGACACCCAAGTATGAGTTTAATAAGGATGGTGGGTGAGGGGAAACACGAAGTGTTCAGCCCATTTTCTATGATCTTTGACTAGTAAATGTGTTGCATGAAAGCACAGATGGGCCAAGTTGAAAACTTGGCCTGGAGACCGAGGCTGCGTGATTTTGAGCAAGAACTTAACCTCTTGTAGCTCAAGACGGCTGGAGACAGCAGTCCTGGTGGCTCATCACGATGTTCCATGGATTACACGGGCTAATGTAGATGAAGCACTTAACATAGAACCTGTAATATGGTTAAGTGCTTGAATTGGTAGCTTTTCACAGCCAAGTACTAGGCAGCTGGTAAAGAGAGTAAGGTAGAACTCTAGGAGCTGATATGGAGGGATTTCCAGTGGGAAAAATATAGTTTACTACCTTTAGTGGGAGAGAAAAGGAAATGTAATGGGACACTTTTATTTGTAAAAGAAAACATAATGCTAAATCAGAAACAAATGAAATAATAGAGGTTAAGGAGAGATAGGAGGGGAGGAAATGGCATCTAGCTCTCAGCATCCTGTTTGTCTTTTTTTTATATATTTTATTGATTTTTTTTACAGAGAGGAAGGGAGATAGTTAGAAACATCGATGAGAGAGAAACATCAAATAGCTGCCTCCTGCACATCTCCTACTGGGGATGTGCCTGCAACCCAGGTACATGCCCTTGACTGGAATCAAACCTGGGACCTTTCAGTCCACAGGCTGACGCTCTATCCACTGAGCCAAACCGGTTTTGGCCGCCAAACCGGTTTTGGCCTGTTTATGTCTCTATACTAGTGGCCCGGTGCATGGATTTGTGCACATTGAAAGGCATCGGGCTCCCTCCTCTCTGGTTCCAGGGTGTGTCACCCGAGAACCGCTGCTGCCAAGTCACTGCAGCTCGACAGCTCCTGCCCCGGGTGGTTAGTGCATGACATATATACTGGCCGGTTGGTCGAATAGTAGCTTAGCCTTAACCAGTTAACTATATACCAAATGGGTAAGATTACCGTAAAGGAAAAAACTGAATTTAAGGAACTTTTGAAAATAGCACTGTGTGTATATACTATCAATATAAGAACTAAAAAGAAATCTTGGCACTCAACAGGTTCATTTTACCAAGTAGTCAGAGTTAACATCACTCAGTGCAACGCGTGTGTATATATATATATATATATATATAGTTTTGACTTTTGGAAATGTATGTTTTCATATTTAAAAAATGGGCCCTAGCTGGTTTAGCTTGGTGGATAGGGCATCAGCCTGCGGACTAAAGGGTCCCGGGCCCTGCCCAAAGTGAAAACCTCAGCCCACTGAGGAAACAATCTGCCAAACCCCGAGGGAGGGACATTCAAAAACCGTCTTGTATTGTTTAAAAATGTCCATTTCACTAAAGACGAAGCTGAGAAACTTTAGAATTGAAGGGAAATGCCAGGACAGTATTGGGGACAATATAGCAAAATGTGAACTGTTACATATTAGGTAATAATAATGTGTCAAATTTCTGAAACTTGATCATTGTACTTTGGTTACATAAAAGAACACCCTTTCCTAGGAGATACTTTGTACTGTGTGCATAGAAAGTTAAAGAGCAAATGAGAAGAAATGCTAAAGGTGGGAAAGTCTCGGTGAAAGGCTCTATGGGAGTTCACAACACTCACCTTTCCTGAATGACCGAAATGCTTCAAAGTAAAACCAGAGAGAGAGAGAAATGGTAACGCTTAGTTTTATTTTAACAAATTTAGATATTTCTTCCCCAAAAAGATAAATCTAAATGCTTGCTCTTGGTGTATACCTCAGGTGTTAGCCTTCAAAGTACTTAAGGAGAAAGATTTGGCTTATTTAATGAAAACGCACAGAAGTTTACAACCACATTTATTAGAAAAATATTATCACTTGGAAGTTCCCTTCTTTTGAGGTCGAAGGTTCGATCCAGGGCACGGTTCTGTTTTCAGCAAACCCCCTCCACATGGCAGGAACCCCAGCTCTGGGTGCTCTCAGGCCCAGCATGGCCCAGTCCAACCGCAGACCCAGCCCACCCTCCACATGAGGAGTCATGAGAAGCAGGCAGGAGCCGGGCCTGTTCTTTCCATCCAGATGCAAGTGGAAATGAGATCCCAGAACTTGGCAGCGGCAGCAGCTGTCAGGCTGGCCT